GGTGAAATGTTAGCCGATTTATCACGGATGCCTAGTTATAGACCTGGTAATTCCAACAGTTTTCATATGTCAACTAGCTTATCTTTTATAACTTTCGTGCTAGATTCAGAAACGCCGGAACATACGAGGATCAACAACTCGTCGACTGATATGAAAGCGGCCAGTTTGAGTAGAAGGTGGCGTGAGCTTTGGTATTGTGATAGGCGTACTTGTGACAATTCTGGTGCCCTGTGTGATCGCGTCAGTTGTAGCTAGAGAAGCAGCTCCTAGCTGTTGAGTAGCGGCGATGGACACGTCTTCAGAGACTGCAGCTGTGTTCCGGTGCGACGGTATAGCACGCCCCAGATTTATTGGCATGCAGCTACTCTAGTCCGGGATGGGAGTCGCTACAGTAGGTAGAACTTGGATGTTTACCTAGTTTATGGCTAAAGTTTTCACTGTGCTTAGCTTCTCGGTGTCTGCCACAATCCTGGCTCGGTGTCAATATTCAGATTCGCGGTCTTGGTCCCTGAAGCCCGGCTGCGAGTGATCCCGAAGGAAGACTTTTATCAAAGTTGGATCTTGCTCCTGAACTATCGTCGAGCAGCTTCCTCAGCGGCTGCAACCTGGGTCCGTACATCGACTTCAAGAAGTCACAGAATGCCTTAAGTTGGAGGCGTTCGTCGTAGCATTCCAACTGCTTTGCCTTCCTCATCAACGATGCATTCCTGATGCGACGGAGTTCATGAGTCAGTCGCCTTAATGGCTTTCAAAGATGACCCTTTTTCTCGCAGTTATCAGGGTCCGTTACGTATGTAGCTGACGCTGCGTTCTTCACCAACACCAGTGCGCCAATGTTCGCGGCTAAACTATTTCAGCTTCGTTATTCTTATTCGTGCGAATCTTCCCCCGGTTTCCAGTATCCCGTAGCAGGTTAGTCCACTACTTCCTTCACTGCAGAAGCAATAATAGGCGTCATCAGCAGTACACCGGTAAGCAGTGCAGACCCTTTTTTTACAGCGCAACCACCAACGGTCGCAAGTAGGCTGAGGTTACAGCGAGGGTCGCCCGGTCCTCTATGTAGGTTCGAACCCGCGCCTTCGAATTACAAAACAAGCCTGTGATCTTTAAGACTACGTGCCGACCGCTACAGAAACTGTAACATGTTATCCATACGTACCCACAGGCCTCCCAGAGTAGATAACATAACGCAGAAGGCTCTGCAAGCAGTAGGTAAGAATTTAGCCGAACTACTTGCTACGGACTATCAGTGCTTTCTAAAGAAGAACAAAATTCCACCAGTGTGGAATCAAGGAGTTATCACTTCTAATCATATTGGATGTAGTCGCACTGACCCTGCAAATTGCCTCCCTGTAAAGTTGCCTCTTGTACCTTCTAATATTGTGTGGTCAATAATTGCAGATGCACTAATATATTAGATGGGTAAGTACTGCTTAGTAGCCTTGGATCAACATGGTTGCTACCTACACCACTCAGTATTAGCAAGCTGCGCTTTGCACGTGGCAAATGAATGGAAGCCTCTTTTTGGTGGATTGAGGATTGACATCGTCTACCCGGAATTGTCAAAAGCATTTTCCAGCTTCAACCATCTAATTCCCCTTTACTTATGGCGTTGGTGACCAAATCCTGCATTAGATGTATAACTTTCAACAAGACCGCCGCTTGGAGGTGAGAGTCCGGGAATCCCTTGGGGAGAAAGTTGAAGTGGAGTGCAGCGTACGACAAAGCTCGGTGCTAGAGCCTCGCTTATCCTTAGTTTTCATGAACGATCTAGCGAGGGTGATTGTTTCAGATTCTCTATTCTTTGGACACAGTGGGCGATCAAGAAATCGGACGAACACAGACTGCTCCAACCATGACTACTTCCACAAACCCCAACAACAACCTGCATCGGCCATCCGGCAGATTATCAACCATCGCCTTATCTGCCGCATACAGCAGGGCGGATAAGCGAAAACATGCTGCTACTGGCGCCTCTCTTCGTTCCTTTCCACGTGTTTCTCTTACTCCCTTCCAAACCCCTCATTACTAATCTTGCTTCTATAATTTTCAGCTTAACTGACAGCACCCATAATGCCACTGCGGTTCCACCATCTGCAGCTACCTTCCCGCACCACCCACTGGAGGCGTATCGGCAAGAGTTCTTTAAAAAACGATGCTGTCCCATTTCGTTGGCGGCGTTCAACCCTTGCACTCTAACATAGGTCCACGGGCCGCAATCGCACGCCAGTTGGAAACCCTGGCTATTGAAGTGCTTTGTGCTCCGAAACTAGCATCAATGACCCTCACGGAGTTGTTGAATTAACTCTTCCGGCTTGTGCTCGCGCAGCTGCTGTTACTGCTGCTCTCAAGAGTAAGATCGTGGGTTCGAATCCTGCAAAGTAAGGAGGATGGGCTCGACTGACGAGCCCCAGTAGGAAGCAACTACCGTCTAGCGCTTTCCTGAATGTGTGATGGCTGTTTGGCTGAGCCTGGCTGCGACGAATCTTGTAATAACATTAACTAACGTCTGCTGAGGCGTCACGAACCCACTGTAAAGTGGATAACTATCTGGCTTCCGGTCCTTGAAACCGTAAGCTACAAAGGTCGCTGTTATCGACACGAGTACCACTCTTGGTTCATCATGCCTCAAATCTCGCGAGCAAAAGGGGCTGTCTTTATTTGGGATGTCAAGCTATGGCCGAAATTGAAAGTATTGAATTTTAACTTCGTCCATTTATTAAGACTTTCAAGAAACTGGCAAGTACATCTCTGTTTTTGCAATGGCACTGTTTGCTTTATAAACAATCATCCCTCAGACAACGCTTGTTCCGCTACTGATCATTCTGTGTGCCTTGCAGTGGTGTAGCAACCACTTTTGAAGTCCGGGGCGACAATAAAACTTTCGTCCTGACTATGGGTAGAATGGGCGCATGAATACCACACCATCGACTCAGGGTAAAGTGCACGTTATTTTTCCCTGAAATGATTGTGAGTTTTTGAAGCTGAGGTAAAAGTGGTGAAAGCGACCACAATGTGACAGGTAAGGTAATCGCTGGGAAGAAAGTACGCACAGGTGTGACACATAGCGCAGATGTGCTATTTCTCATCCAGAGTAACATCCAAATATCCAACATTGAGCATGTCCGGATATTTTGTTCTTTGTATTTCGTATCGACCACCAGACAGTACCAAAAATGCCGCCCTCTGTCACATGCCGCCCGGAAAAGGCCGCCCCCTACGCTATGCCTCTGGTGCCTTGTAGGTATCACTCGTTAAGCACAACTCATGACTCATTGATTACTCCGTTATGGAAATACCATTTTACTACTTATTCAGTCCACTGCACCCCTGTGACCTGTAACTTGACCCAATCGTCCCATTATTACGAATGCCATTTAGTGGGGGAGTTACGTATCATCAACTTTGTACTGGAGGACAACTGGCTAGCTTTGTTGTATGTAAACTATAACATTTGAAGACAAGCCGTTCTCATGTCCAAGTTATTACTATACGAACGAATACACTGGTCGGTGCAAAGAGGAATTAGGGACAGAGATACAGATAATCACATTGGACTTTTGTACATTTGCAGGGATTTCAGAGTGCTTTATAGCAGCCACTGTCTTGAATTAGCAATGAGCTTGGTGAGTCAACGGTGTGGAAGTAACCAATAACTGAACACCGTCGCACACCGTAGTCGAGGCTATTTAGAGATTAAAGTACGAAGCTCAGGGTCAAAGTCAAGTCCGAATATGCTTAATACACTCAAATGGGTTTCTTTACAGCGCTTACAATACCGTAACGGATGTACTGGGAGATGATATTAGTGAAAAATAAAAAAGTAGATTAACCGAAACATATAGGCAAATGTCACTATAACAACCGCTTTTGCCGTATGTTCGTAACTTTTTGGTCGACAAGTAAACGTGACAACCAAAGTAAATTGGTAGTAGGAATCAGTGAAGTGAACGATTAACTTTTGAAGCCGTTGATAAAGAAGATAGCGTTTTTGGAAGGTCACTGTGCATTCGATAAGGTCGGTCATTTAGGTAGGTAGAAGAGAAATTGTTACCTGCACTCATTTGTCTAGAAATGTCCAAATCAGTTACAGAATTTCTGAATAAATCGCTATATCCAGAAACTTTAAGGTGTAATATTTTGGTACCAACCCGTGGCATATGTCACATCAGTATGGTCAGTGGAGTGAACGCATGAAGTCAAAAACCAATTTATTAAAATACGGAATACTGAAAGCATCCAGAGATTACAAGATTAAAAAATAATCCTCTAATTTTAAGCACCACTTCATGAGCGTACGTGGTCCATTAGAGGCTCTGGGACACAATCATTTGAAGTTACTCCACAATGGATGATCCAAATATGCGATTGTCTACCCCAGTCAACGTGAGTGAGGTACTTATGAAATGCCGACAACTCGGCGTCCCGAATAAAAAATATATAACCATTCTGCATTTAGCAGGGTTGAGAATAGGGCTTCTGGATGAAGACAATTCCACCAGATTTCTTAACCCAGGTTGAAGCGTCGAAGAACGCCGAACCGTTGGTGCCGCACAAGTTACCAGTTCTACTGACAACAGTCACTTGCGTCACTCTCTGATTTTGTGCACCTCAGGTCGCGTGACCTGTCAGCCAGTAATAGTAGGATGCACAGTCACTTTGCTTCCATAATACCGCCACCCGTCGACATCGTGTTAGGGACACCGCGTGGTCGCCTGCACCTAGGCAGGTTCTAGCCGGTGGTCTGTGGATTACAATGCGACCGGCCACCGAGTGTCAACTAAATACAACTGCTGAATGGAAAATCACCGTTACTAACGGAACACAAAAGATCTAAAAATGTAAAAGCCTAGACTTCTGCAAAGTTTTCTCAGCATACTTCGTGAAAATCGGTGCAAAGGTGACGTATTTTTGGACAGCTTAATTCTGTATCATACCTCTCCATATAAAATTTTGATACAATTTTGCTTTTCTATCCTGGTTTATCATTTCTCACTCAGATCTGAAGACCAACACAGTGAAGCCCTCAAACGCCAAGCAGCTGATGGAAGCCAATGATTCCAAGATCAATGTGCAAACCACGCACCTCAAGCCACCTCTCAGTAAATGTGTGAAAACTGTTACAAAGGGCTCTTCACTGCCAGTGAAGTGTCGCAGTAGACTAGAACAAACAGACGGCGGCCTTTCCTCCAGCACACTGGATGTAGCAAGTAAAGCTAGTGGCCGTAAAAACCGATTCGTGGTTGCACCGACCCAAGGAGAGTCAAAGAATGAAATCTCCGGCATAAAGGCCAAAAGCGCCCGACCGTCTTCCAAGATCAGGATGGAGAAAGGAGACCACGTTTGGAACTCAAACTCTGCTCTCCACTCGAGGTTAGTTGAGACACAAGGGACGAAAACTCAGTCCTGTGATCGTGTAAGTTCAAGAATGCCAGCGCGTGTAGGCAGCCTTCCGCCGCGGTCCATCAGGAAAGCACAAGTGGAGAATCCAAACTCGACGCAACTCGATAGTTTGAATTTATTGGCGGCTTATCATAGGCGGTTAGAAAGGAAGCAAGAATTACGAGCACGGACGTCCGCACCCAAGAACACGACCGAAAAAACAAGACAGCCGCAAACTAGTGGTGGCGATGACAAGCCAAGCACATCCATCCTTAACGCCGGTTTCAACACAATCGCGCACAAGCTGCGGCGTGTGAACATCGTACGGGAGGAGCTGAATAGGCTTCAAGAACAATTAAAAGAACTACGAACCTATAACAACCTGGGTAGACTGTACTATCTCGCCGATGCCTTTATAAGCACGTTGTGCACTCAGATAGCGCCCTACGTCCTAGTAAGTGTAATGGTGTTTCCTGATGGGCTAATTCGTTTCTACGCTTGGCAGCTTACCGATCAGTGACTAGCCATTTCCCTAGTAGAAATATCTGGTGAGATTTCCCAATGCTTCAAAATTGGAACGGTTCAGTTTGCCTGGATTACCTACTTTGTACGCTTCGTCCATCATGTTTTTACCATACGTGGCTCAGCTGCTGATGCTATCTGATGACCAAACATTGTCGGTCACCGAACTCACAACTCGACTGTCACGAGAGGAATTTTTCAAAGTAGAACGGGTGGGCTAAGCGACTCGCTTAAGCAGTTGCATAGACACCACCAGACGGGAATGCATAGGCTCACCATAACCAACCTTTTACAGCAAATAATGACGTTAGCCACATGCGTCAGGGTAACTGGATTGCAGGGTAACCGATAATCTTAAAGGAAAGCTCTGTGCACAACCGAAACAGGATTCTTACGAGTAGGCAATAGGAACACGCCAGCGAGCCATGCGTGAGTGTGATGCCGTGATTTGGGATAATCCGTGGAACAATGGTATAATATGGATAAAATATTCATGGCTTGACAAGCCCCATGGGATGGGTTGTGGGAACTACATATGTTCAAAGAAGTGTTACTAAAGGGAAACGCGCGTATGTGAACTCCTCATCATATCCAGATTATGGCACATGTATATCTGTTTACCCCAATTTAGTGAGGATTGGTGAGCATAATGTCTGTCTGCCTCTTATGGTCACTCGATGAACAGAATTCGAACCAAGTAATGCAAACGGTGTGATGCATCATTCAGTCGTTTTCTTAAAATGCGTAATGTGGGTGCAGAAATGAAAAAAGTCGAAAAAGCGGCTGATAAATTCGAAGAGAAAACTAATTCTGGCAGCATTCTATCCGACCTTATCGGGTGGCCCAAGCATTTTGTGTTTCGACTAACATTCAGTAGATGACGGCAAGCGTGACCATGGTTTATCAAGATCTAATACGCCAGAATGTCATTCCGTAGAATGCGATAACTACCGCTGTACACTTCTAGGGTTTTCACTAGGATTTGGTATGGCAGGTATGACAACCCTGTCACATTTTTCCTTACCCTTTGTTCTGGGGTCTTTAGTGTGATTAGATGATGTTTTAGCAAGAGTTGTCAGCTCTAAGTCGCATACTCTTCTACATGGGGCCTCAAGTATCCGTTCGGCACTTGAGGGAAGATGGGGGGACGAACTGCCCGAACGCCCTCTGTAAGAGACTAACATGTTGATTTGCAATGTTGGACGTCTTCAAGGACTACGGCGAATAGCCGAGGTTATTTTGCACTACCACCCCAAGGTCGCGCACCCGTGAAGCGGTCTCCAAGATGTGGTCTCCCATCCTATATGTGCTATTTGGTTTGTGACGTCCATGTACTACGTTACACTTTCCGCATTTAACAGGAGTAGATTTATCTTTGGCCATTCAAAAGCACGGTCTAAGTTTCGTTGCAGCAGGTCCTGATCTCTCTACTTAACAATCGCCCGCCATAGCTTGATGTCATTGGCAAGAGGTAAGAATTTCTGCCTGACGAAACACGGTAGTTGGTAAATACCAATGATAAGCTTGGTCCTAACACTAGTCCCCATGGAACGCTGCATTCCACCTTAATCGGAAAAGCATTGATTACCGAACCCAAACATGAAGCCGCGGCTGAAAGAGGAAATTTTCGCTCCATCCAAGAACCAAATGTTCAATTCCATTGGCTCGCAGATTCTGAAGAAGAATTCGGTGAGCTAAGCGGTCGAAAACTGTATAATAGTCGTGATGGATGACATCGGTTCTAGTCACACTAGCGGCTGTTACGGTCCAACTGCCACGCGCAATCAATAGATTAGTGCTACATGAATAATACCGACGCACGCCATGTCGTTTTGGAACTAGGATTATAAATCTTTATAACCAACTCATTAGTGATGATACACTCTATTCTCTCTGAGAGCACTGAGAAAAGGATCAATGAGCCACTATCCGTAAAATTCGGGATAATTAGGCCATGTTTCCGTATAGTATGGATCTGCTGTTCATTGTTGAACAATGGCGAAAATAGCTCCGCTGCCCTTGCAACTGTCACCTTCAGCCATTTTAGCTAAATGTTGCAAACTTCGTGGGTACGTTCCGCCGTCTGGGGATTGGAACCTGTAAGTGATATATCCTGGCGGCGCGTCCGGACATTGGAGCATTTTAAAACCATGGAACTTTGGTTTCATTTGACACTTGGAGTACTGAGATGAGTGCTGGATTCTAACACCTAACTTTCCTTGGTCTGTTCAAGTGTTTGCGTAGTAGATTGTTATTGTCAAAAAAACCTTTCCTCTAGGCACCGTTGGTGTACTAATATCTCACGGACAGGTGTGGTACAGTGCTTACGCTGAACCAAACATTTGGTCCTGTTGTTAAGACCAGGGTGAGCTTTGTACGCATGCCACTAGGCGTCTCTTACCTCCATGTGATTTCGGATTCCACTTCCAGTAAAGAAACGTGATCTGGTTTCTGACGCGGTTGTAACTTGATTGCTAAGCTTGAAACAAACCTCCTCTCCATGCTGTCAATGGGAACGCCGTCCAAAAGCTTCCAGTTGAATTATTCAGCGCGTTTTGCCAGCATGTCGCAATAGGTGATTGTAAGAGACAAGTCAGTGGTCAGTATAACCTAGAAACTTTATCTTTGGCATATCGACCATAAGCTGTTCGTTTGTAATGACTAAATCAAGTGCTTTGCTTTCCGCTCTGATTCTGATGTGTGAACTGACATAGCTGAAAGACGGGTTGCGTCAAGAAACTTGCAAGTGAGCCTTGAACAGCTCACTAATGGGTGCCAGAAGTTCCACCTAATGACCACTGCATTCACTTGTGAGAATGTGGCTACATTGTGGTCGCAGGACGCTTCCCAAGAGTAAGGCCAGACGGGAGTCCATCTCTGGGAAGGACATCAGCGGAAAATATTCGACTGCTACAATGCAGGTATCTGGTTTAGTCGCAGATGCCACCACAGAGAGTCAGGGATCAATGTTTTTGGATCACCCACTAATTTGCAATGCAGATCACTACGGTAGAACAGAATAGCCCGACTCCATTTGTGGGGCGAACGTACCGAACAAGAGACACCCTGTGTTTCGTAACTCAGGCGTCGGTACTTTCTAGATATACCAAGTTTTCCTTACGAATATGAGGTAACAAACGTGTTATACTTAAAGTAGCCGCAGTTCAACAAGCTTGTTCAGGATCAGTGGCTTAGCTACTATTTTTTCCGCCCGGTGTAGTGACAACATTTTCGCCCTGATTGAGGGGGAATAGGCGTGTGAAGGTCATATAATCGGCAGGGTAAAATGCACGTTAGTTTGCAATGAAATGGATGATTGTTCGATAGATCGAAGTGGAGGTGGTGCAACTGACCACAATAGGACAATTAAGGAGATCGCTGGGAAGAACGTTTGCACAGGTGTGACACCTGGCGCAAAGGTGTTGGTCATTCAGTAACATTGAAGTATTCAAACCACAGCTTATCTGAATTGTGCCCTTTGTATGTGGTATCGAACAGTCGATGGTACCAAGAAGGCCGTCCCCTGTCAGATATCACCTGGGGTGTATCGCCCCCATGCCATTCCTCTGTTCAGGAGACCCTGTGCACATTGGTGTATATGCAGCTATCTCTGCTCTCACCAGTGAGTTGGGGGACATGTGTCTTAGGTGAGCTGTTACACTGACCGGTGAAAAGTCGGCCATTGATCGCCTTTTGACTCAGGAAGTGGGAAACTACTTTGTTTCTGATTCATCTGTTCGGTCGTTTCCCCCACTTTGTGTACAACGTATGGGATGTAACCACTAGTTTCGTTGACTAGGTGTGATGTTATCCGAACCGTTGTTAAGAATTGCTTTGGTCAAATTTCATCTGTCGTGTTGTAAAAACCCGAAAAGTTAGCTAAACGATGTATTGTCCCAAACACAGCTTATACCAAGTGCACCGGTTCTGACAAACGAAAAATCCACTCATCTCTGCACTCCCTGTTGGAGGCTGCATGTCGCGGGTTTCTTCCTGTGTCTAGTGTTGCTCTTGTGTGCATTGCTTATGCGACCATTCCTTGTGCGCATACAACGGTTATTCCAGTGTTCCTTTCCTTTGGGGGAGAGTCATTCCGGCCCGCTGTTTTCTGGTTGCCACTTGACACTACTATACTACTGATAACTGGCGCAGTATTGTCAGCCTTTAGTCTACCACCACTCTATCCAGTGTTCATCCCAGCTGCCTTCGCTCGGAGTCTTTCTGACTGTCAGGGATGCTCACTACGCGTAAGTAATTCCTTCTCTAACGCGTGCCACTTCCTCGACGCACTGGCATGTATTCGCCGTGAATCGTCTTGCCCAACCGATTGCATACGATGGACCTCGCCGTTTGACCACCTCCTACGGTTCCTTCCCCTTCAGTAGGTTTACTTTCTCCTGGGCCACAAGTGGAAGCGCGTTGATAGTTACTAGACTACACCTTCGAACCGATCGAAAACTCGACACTCATTATCCCATTGTTGGTCTGGGACTTCTCCATCATTTACGTCTGAGCTGCCTTCAGGTTATGGTTGGCTGGTTGCTGGTTCGCATCCTGGCACTTCCATACTACTGAAAACTGGCGCACTAGTGTCTGCGATTAGTGCACCACAGTGTGTCTGCTTATTGGTCGCTGCTTTCAGCCGGTGCTCAGAATGTACTCCACTGCGATACGATTACTAGCACTGCAAGGTCCTTTTCGACGTCTGCTAGATTAAAACACCACCTTCATACTCCTTGGACCATATTTTTAACTTGGCAACCTAGGTAGCCTGAAGCTTGATCGAACTACGATATATTTCGAGGAGAGGGTCTCGCGAATCTATCGACAAGAATACTGATCGCACGTTTGTTTCCTACTCATTATGTCCTCTAGCCTAAATCACGGTGGAAAAGGATGGTCCTTTCTATGAGTTAGTTCTGGTAATCACCC